TAAATTGGCTTGAATTTTATGGGTGTTACAAGTTGGTATCAGAGTCTTGGTTTGAGTGAATTGGAGGAACACTCGTGTGAATCCAGTCTCAAATCAAGGAAACGATTTTCAAAATGATTTTTTAAAATGGTTTTCAAAATACTAAGGGAGAATGCAGGGTGTACGGTTAGTCGGAGCCAGCAAGTAGACCCCAAAATACCTTACGGTTATTTGATATTGTGACATGTTAGAACAACATGCTAGTATTAGGCTAGGGATCTTCAGGAATTACATGGTAGATGTAACATCCCAAAAATACAGGCCAAAAATTTCATTTTTAATTAAGTTGTTTATAAACCAATAGTATAAAACCATCCATAGTATTAACTCATGTCAAAAGCGATGTGTCAGTAATCAAGCATGTCATCATAAAATAATATCAGAGTATAATCCCGAAGATCCCATGTGCGGAAAAACATAGTGTGATGCACTGCGATCGAGCCGACTCTTTTCCTTTGAAAATGAAGTACCTGAAACCAAAACTGAAAACCGTAAGCACGAAGCTTAGTGACTTCCACCATCATACCAAAAACCATACATAACAAATACTGCCATGCATATCTGGGTGCCAGCCTCCCCTTCGGTCTATTTCAACCGGATATCTGCCTAGCATATCTGGGTGCTGGCCTCCCCTTCGGTCTATTTCAACCGGATAAATGCCTAGCATATCTGGGTGCTGGCCTCCCATTCGGTCTATTTCAACCGGATAACTGCCTAGCATATCTGGGTGCTGGCCTCCCCTTCGGTCTATTTCAACCGGATATCTGCCTAGCATATCTGGGTGTTGGCCTCCCCTTCGGTCTATTTTAACCGGATAACTGCCTAGCATATCTGCGTGTTGGCCTCCCCTTCGGTCTATTTCAACCGGATAACGGGGACAACGTTTGCGAGGTGAGTTTTCTCACTATATTGTGTAGGATTCTTGTTGTCTTTGTGATCCTACATTGTATGTTGGACGGGGCCCATTTGTATGTTGGGCGGGGCCTGTTTGTATGAGGGGCGATGCCTGTGATGTGGGTGGGGCATGCTATGATGGGCGGGGCCCGATGATATGTATGTTGTATTTTGGGGAACTCACTAAGCTTTATGCTTACGGTTTGTCGTTCAAACATTTTCAAGTACTTCTAGTTCCAAATGGAAGGGCCCAACTTGACTGTACAACATCCCCTAATACCTTTTCCTGCATTGATTATTATCATTTTACTCTTATGTTTGAGAGATAAGTTTTGCTATGATTGGTTTTTAAACAAATGATTGTATGGTTTTGATGGTTTGAAAATGAAAATTTTTATTAGTATTTTTTTAGGACGTTACAACTTAATTTCTTTAAAACAACCAAAAGAGTAAAATCCCCATTTTTATTTTTATTTTCATTTTACGAGTATTTTTACAAAGAGATTTTTATAGAGCTTAAAAATTTAACCAATCCTCATGGATTCAATCCCTTTACTACTATATACTATTTTTGTGTGCACGAACTAATTAAGAGTTTATGTTTGTTTGCCTCAACAATCACTATAATCGTAATAGTTCCTGCCAAAAATTGCTAAAAAAAATGACATCACGTTCAAAAATAATAGATCGGAGCAAAACCAAGAAGACGAACGATCCCCTAACAAAATACAAATGCCACTCCCGTAGCAGTAAATGGATGTGATAAGTAGCATATTTTCTTAACCAATCAACAACAACTAGAATAGTATCAACATGATTAGAAATAGGTAAACCCATAATAAAATACATTGAACTATCTTCCAAAACATGCGTAGGAATATGTAAGGTTTGGAGAAAACCGACATGAGATAGGCTTCATACTTTTGATGTTGGTAGATCAAACAATGTTAACCAAAAAGAAGAACATCCCGGTTCAAATGGGCCAAAAGTATTGAGCTAAAAGGCATTTTAAATTTTCAAAAAAAAAAAAAACAACCATGACCCGCGCCTGTGATCGGGAACATCAAGATTCACTAGGTGGTGTTTGTAAAAGAGGAGTTGACCGTTGAAAGAAAAACTCGTGGATAAAGTTGTATCAGATGCTAGTTGGGTGATTATGTTGTTGGTGTAATAGTCAGAATGCAAACCGACTTTCACATGTGCCATTTCGAAACAGTACTAAGCCACCGATAAGGTAAGTAAATCACCTGAGTGGGTTGACATGACAATGCGGCGACTCCTTTCTTTTCCTTTGCATAATAGTGGGTAATAGAAAAATAATATAACATGAGTTTAAGTAGAAGTCACTGTTGCTCGGTGGTTGTAATACATTGTTCCAACAAAAACTTTAGAGTGTAATGATCTATGTAAATAAAGAAGGACAATCAACACCAACACAAGTTGTTCACGATCGTAAGAAGATTTAAAATGGTTGGGAAGTGAAAAATACTTACGAAAATATGCTACCGGATGATCTTCATGAGAAAGCATATCCGCCAACCCATCGTCATATTCCACAATAAAAGCTTTCGAGAAATCAGGTAAGTGGAGAACTAGAATAGACATTAGAGTTTGTTTTAACTTTTGAAAAGTTGTTAAGGCACAAATGGACCAAACAAAATTGTATTTCTTAGTGATGGTTGTAATTGGACGATCTATTAACCCATAATTACGAACCAAGCTGTCTATAGTATCCCGTAAGTCATAGAAATCCACAGCCATGATTGAATCGTCGATATATTTTCTTATTCCCTGGCGAGACCATCAAATAACAAAAACCTAAAATATGATGACACACAAAAACAAATTATAGCAGTGGTACTAGAGATCGAATCCACAGGGATTGGTTCAAATGAAATCTATGCATTCGGTTTTTATAAAATAAAAAAAAATAATAATAAAATGAAAAGGGGTTTTTTCTTGAAATATAAAATACGATAAAAAGCTAATTTATGAAAAACCTAAAATAACAAAATATAAAATCTATAAAAAAAAGGTTCCAATGTCGAGATGAATCATAAGTTCAACTATTTGAATAATCATCATAATTTTGTGGTGTAATGAGTTTGATGGATCCTAATTTGACTATAGCAGTCTAAGAAGCTTGGGATTATCTAGACAAGCTTGGGATTTTCTTAGTTAATACAAGGGTTAGAGAAACTGATAACACATTTTTTTAATTAAAAGAAATGGCTTCTAGCCCAACGGTATCCGGTGTGCCCTCCCTCATTGAGGTCGAGAGTTCAAGTCCCGCTGTGGACATAGGTGAAATAATTTATGAGTAGTTTAGTATATTTTACATTTCAAAAAAAAAGTCACAATTAAATATGTAATTAATGAAATTAACTAACATTAAATTTTAAAAGCCACCAAATTCAAAAGGGGTCAAAAAGTTTCCACTATCTTGTTGGAGAAAATATTTATATGATTGTGTGAAGTGAAAACAACATAAGAAGCACTTGTTTCTTGTTAATTTGAAGATCTATTACGTAATCAAGAAATTAACCAACTAATTAAACATTCACATATCTAAACTCATGATTAAAGACATATAAACATAGATAAATGTTTTACTAAAAAATACTTTCATAGAATAGCATCAAAATCGTCACTTATTGTTGCTCCAAAAACTCCATCTATAATCCTAGTATTAATAAAAAAAACTAACCTAATCTATAAAAAGTTAACTAATTACAAGACAATAAAATCATTACACAAATATCAATGATAATATTGTCCCCGATGAAGATAATAATGGGACAAACTAGGATAACAAAACAAATAAAGAAAAGAGTGAACATTTTAGGTAGCAATTCAAGACAACACCATTTAAGATAAATCATATAAACCACAATTTGGAAATAAGAATCGCGACAATTAGATTTTTTCAATTTACAAAATACTAACATAATCACATAGACTCTAACACATAAACATACGACAATAGTAAAGGGGCAGTTGTCGTTTGTATTTTTTTTTTCAATTTATTTTTTAATTTTGTTTTTTTCAAAAATTTTTAGGATTCATTTTTTTGGTTTACCAAGGAGCTTTACAAATATAACATCAAATAAAAATATAAAGCACAACTATATACAAGCTACAACTAACAAAACTAAGCACAAAAGCTAAGTAAAAACTAAATTGATATCAAATGAGAAAATGTATCTATACCAAGAAGTAAGATGACATGAAATGTAATAGCTAGACATAAAAGATCTCAAAATAAGAAGGTTCTAGTAATTTTTCCCTTCTTTGGAAAATCGGTATGCTTAATAAGTAATACGCTCGTGGGGGACGGTTTCTAAGACTTTAGGGTTATGTTGTCTCATGCATCATGTCATGCTTGCAATAAGTCGATTCATTTGCATAAATTGCTTGTACTCTACCCTATGAGTGTTATAAAAAGATGTGACAAATGAAACTCATATAAACAATTCTATTATTTCAAAAAGATTTGCACGTTTGGAAAATCGGTATGCTTAATAAGTAATACGCTCGTGGGGGACGGTTTCTAAGACTTTAGGGTTATGTTGTCTCATGCATCATGTCATGCTTGCAATAAGTCGATTCATTTGCATAAATTGCTTGTACTCTACCCTATGAGTGTTATAAGAAGATGTGACAAATGAAGACTCATATAAACAATTCTATTATTTCAAAAAGATTTGCACGTTTGGCCTATTAAGACTTAGGGGTTGTTTGTTAACCTCTTAATTGAAAAATTAAAAGGTTGCCTCTGAAAAATTCAGATATACCATGTTTGGTAGCCTCTTATAAAAAACCTCTTAATTGAAAATTTACTTCTTAAAAATTCAGATTTATACACATATCTGTAAAAGAAAGAAAGACCTACGTGCCCCCTAATAAAACACGTGTCTTCCTTTTTTCTCATACGCACGCCTCCTATTTTTCTTGAAGTCATATCCACTTCCTTATCCTTCCTCCTCTCCACGCAGATCACCACTTCCTTCCCCTCGCACTTCGATCGTCGCCGCCGCCGCCTGCTCCTTCCTCGTTGTCGTCTTCGATCAAGGCAACAAAGGTACATGATTTTTCTTCTGTCGAACCCCACCTCCGGCCACTTGCTTTCCTTCGCCAGGGCCGCCACTCCAACGGCTTCCTCCACCAACGTCGCCGGTAAGCTTTTCTTCTCCGGCTTTGAAATCGATTTCCATCACACAACACATCTCTGGTGTCATCGTCGCCAAGAATTTGGAAATCTAAAAAACAAATTAATTTTTTTGGAGGTTTCTATATAAAATTCTCTAATAATAAAAAGGAAAAAAAAAAGAAACTTAAGCATAGAAAAAAAAGCGATCAAAGATAACAAATCCCCAATAACGGCGCCAAGAATTTTGTGGCTGTCGAGACCAACAAATAAAAAACCCTAAAATACCACAACATACAAAAACGAATTATAGCAGCGGTAATAGGGATCAAATCCACAGGGATTGGTTCAAATGAAATATATGCATTCAGTTTTTATAAAATAAAAAAAAAACAAAAGGAAAGGGGGTGGGTGGGGGGGGGGTTCTTGAAATATTAAATGCGATGAAACTAATTTATAAAAAAAATAATTAAATATAAAATCTATAAAAAAACGTTCCAACATCGAGATGAATTGCAAGTTCAAATAATTGAATAATCATCATAATTTTGTGGTGCGATGGGTTTGATGGATCATAATTTGACTATAACAATCTAAGAAGCTTCAGATTACCTAGCATTTTCTTAGTTAATACAATGGTTAGAAAAACTAATAACATATTTTCTTAGTTAAAGTCATGATTTCCATGAAACATATAATCATGGTTCTAAAAAGCGCGTAGGCGCACCATGGCGCGAGGCGTGGTGTAGCCGTTACGAAAACGTCCAAGGCGGGTTTCTGAAGCGTGGCGCCTTATCACGTTATGACGCGAATTTTTTTCAAGGCGCGAGTTTTTTTGTTTTTTTTGTTTTGTTTTTTTTCGGGCCTAAAATAAATGAGTTTTTGTAACTTCTTCTATTAGATATTAATATAACACTTCTAAAAACTTCATATATTTGATAAAATTCAATAATTATATGATTTATATCTTTTAATGTATATAATATAGTCACGCCTTGAAAAACGTCATGGCTCGCCAAGGCTTGTCATGGCTTAACTTTTACCTTGCCGCCAAGTCACGCCTTACGTTATTTAGAACCTTGCATATAATTAATGAAAATTAACTAGCATTAAGATTTAAAAGCCACCAAATCCAAGAGGAATCAAAAAGTTTTCACTACCATTTTAGAGAAAATATTTTTATGATTGTGTGAATTGAAAACAACACAAGAACCATTTGTTGCTTGTTAATTTGAAGATCTATTACATAATCAAGAAATTAACAAACTGATTAAACATTCACATCTCTAAACTCATGATTAAAAACATATGAACGTAACATAAATATATGTTTTACTACAAAATGCTTTCATAGAATACCATAAAAAACATACAAAACTACTCCTAATCAACTATTGTTCTATAAATTCACCCAGCATTGAAATATAAAAACTAACAATAAAAAATAACAATAACAATTTTTGAAACGAAGATGACGCAGCTTCTTGAAATCCTCACTTCTGTTGTTCTAAAAACTCCATCTATAATCCAAGTGGGGAAGCTAGAGATTTCGGGGGCGGGGACGGGGGAACTGGAAAATTCCGGGGGTGGGGGCGGGGGATGCAATCCTCGCCCTGTTTGCCCACGTTGACATCCCTACACCAAAGAGACGCCACACCCTCCTCTTACTTCTCATTCTATTTTAACGCTGCCATTTTTTCTACTCCACCCAAGACAGACCCAATTAAATTACTTCAGGGCTCCTGGAAAATACACTTGGCCTTCTGATATTGGGCTATTTAAAATCAGAAAATGAGCTGCCAAAAGCTTTATGTATTGGGCTGCCAAAGCTAAAGCTGGCAGCTTCCTGCTTTGATGTTCACGATGCCAAAAATCATATCAAAACTTGTTCAAATCCGCTCGTTTTTTGTGAGGTCGAAGACTAATGAGTTGGGAAGACGTCCGTAAAATTTCAGCTCAATCGGACAACGTTTGCCTCTCCGTCTAATCACTTGAATAAAGTTGTGCAATGCTGTTGAAATCCAAAAATTAATTTATATCGTTTTGGTTTTCTTTTCGCTCACGGACTTTGCTATGAGACTTCAATCGTGGTTGCAAGGTATTCGATGTGGCTTTAACGATTCTCCAAAATACCATCTTTCTCGTACAAATCTACACAAAAATAGCTTAAACGAGTAAAAATATTCAAAACAATAAATCTAACGATCTAATGCAAAAAGAATATTAAAAATACGAAAACTAAAAGAAAACGAATTCTAAAATATATACAAAAAAACCAAACTATCATCCCCATGTACACCTACCAAAGTAATAACATGCCCCAAAAACACAACTTGGGATTGACCTGAAGGTGTTCTAAATGTTTCTTTGCCACATCTGATAGGTTTTACCCTAATCCCAAATAAAGTTTGGAAAACATAGTTACTCCTAACGATTCCTCTAAAAGTTCGTCACCATTGGGTATCAGGGTGCTTGTCGGCCATTGTAATTTTGTTTAAAGTTTGTAGGGTTATAACTAAAATGGTGCTACACTCATGATGTTTTCTTCAACAATTCAAACAAATTTTCAAATATACTAAAATGTTTATGTATAAACATAGGGGAGAAAGAGGAAACAAGGGTTTCCTATAAACTAACACTTTGACATACAACTTATTTATCAACAAATGATGATATTGAAATAAACTAAGAAATAATTAAAAATTCTTATGGTTTACCAAAATTCATCTACAAAGGTCATTGAATGTGAATGATGTTGACCCGCTATATATTTGGGGCAATTCCTCACTATTCTTTACATGTCCAAAACTAGTTTGAATCGTAAAGGGCACATGTGATAATCTCATGCCTTCTAACTCGATAGAAACTTCTTTCATTGTTGGCCTATTTTTCCCATTCAAATTCAAGCATCGCAATGCCAAATTAGCTATGGCTAACAACTCACTCATTGAACCCTCCTTAACAACCATTGCATCCAAAATAGATAAAACACGACCTTCTTCCACGGCTTCCATAAAGTATGCAACTAAACTTCTATGTTCCCCAAATTTAGTCAAGGATATTGGTTTTTCTCTTGTCAAGAGTTCAAGCAAAACAACTCCAAAACTATATACATCACTTTTTTCAGTAAATTGACTTGATTGGAAGTACTCTGGATCCAAGTAACCAAAGGTCCCTTTGACTAACGTAGTTAAGTGAGTCTGTTCTAATGACACAAACCGTGAAGTTCCAAAGTCAGAAACTTTTGCTCTATACTTTTCATCCAAAAGTATGTTAGTAGTCTTAATGTCTCTATGGTATATTGGAGTGGAGGTTGATGAATGTAAGTAAGAAAGTGCTCCTGCAACCTCTGTGGCGATCTGTAATCTCATGTTTAAAGAGATTGAGAACTCGTTAGTTTCATCTTGGATAAAGTCATACAAGGTACCATTCGAGATGAACTCGGAGACAAGTAGTGGCACCTCGGTTTCTAGGCAACATCCCAATAGTTTAACGACATTTCGATGATTGACTTGTGAAAGAATGACCACTTCATTAATAAATTGTTCTAGTTGGCTTTCATCAACCACCTTTGATTTCTTGATTGCTACGATCCTTCCATCGGATAACATGCCTTTATACACTGTACCTTGACCTCCTCGACCAAGAAATTCTATCTCATTAAATTATCAGTGGCCTTGATAATCATTGGATGTAAAAAACGTATGGTTTTGTCAACTAAACCATATTAGTTGCTTGTTGTTGTTTAAGAAGTATACCACCATTGCGCTTAAAGTACCTTTTAGTCTTCATCTTGCTTTAGTTTTCCTATTTATTGTGTATAATACATAAACAATCACCATTAGGAGAAGTGACCCCATGCTTATACTAACACCTGAAAGGAGGAAAATATAATACAAACAATTAATATTACACAACTCAGCCATAAACATCGTCGGCTTTAGCAAGACAATTATTGATCCATAACTATTGAATTGCAACTAAATCATAGTCATGTTTTATTAAGTAATAGAAAGATACTGGAATTATATATATATATTATATATCTATATATATATATTATATATAATATATATATATATATATATATTTGTGTGTGTGAATGTTAATTATTAAAAACAAAACTTATAAGAAGATATTTAAGTATAGACTTTTATTAAGTCAAAATAAATAAGTTTGGAAGAAGTTAACTATTATGAATACCCTTAGGCTTTTGAACAAAAAAAATACATAATTTTAACAATAGATTGAAAAGAAATTTTATGAAAATGTAAACATAAAAATATAATAATTATTGAACATAAAAGGGAGGGGGCGGGAGTGTTCTTATTTAAAACACTCATGTTTTTCTGTAAGAATATTGATTAGCCTATTCGGTATACAAAATAAAATTTTAGAATTATTTATTTTATTAGTTTATGAGGTATTAGATAGTAATAATTTGATAAGCTTTTTAGTCTTGACAAATTTTGTTTACACGTGTGAAGTGAGAAAAATGATATTTTACATTACTTTTCTTAAATTAAAAGTAAAAGTGCAATTCATTTTTACCCTTAATAAGGAGTTTTTAATAGGTTTACACAAAACAATTTATCAAAAAGTGCTGATTACCAATACCCCATTAGAATAAACACTGTTTTCGCAACCCAAACACATAAATATGTTCATTATCGTCAGACCAAAATAATATAATAAACACTTGAAATAAACAATCTTAAAAACTCTTAACATATCAAGTTATGAAAGGTAGTTCTTTTTCAATAAAACTTAAAAAGAAGTCAAGAAACATATATCTAACTTAATAAATAAAGATTTTTTTGGCACATGTGTTGTTCTCATTGCATATGACACATTATTTTCTAAGTTTTTTTCATTTTATGTTTTTTCCACTTGTCATTTTATTGTTTTTTCTATTTTATTAAATTCTATATAATATTCATAATATAATAATAATTGTATATCGATTTCATTAATACAACTTTCATTTTAATTTCTAAATTTCCAAACGAATCCGATTATTTTATTTGTTTATTTATTTAAATTATTTGTTTAAATTTAAAAGTGAAATAAAAAAGTTAAAAATAACAAATTAAACATTACATTTCAATAATTCAATATATTTTTTTTTCTTATCAATTCAAACTTCCTAAATTTTTAGATCTTCATATTTTTTTTAAATAAACTGTTGTACTACACAGGTCTCATAACTACGGTATAAATAAAATAGAAAAGAACCTACTTATACAGTTGCATACCAAGTAGAAAGCATTATTTTTATAGTTTTTAGGCGACTTAACTTTGGTTAAGTAGTTAATGAGTCATTGGTGACCCAAGTGGAAGACAAGGGAGTAACGCTTCCAATGGATAGATTTCTGTTTTTACATAGCAATATGATTTAAATTTGAATAAAAAAAAGTTTTAAATAGAAATTGTTTTGATGCCCCCAACCCTTGTAGACGATTTTTATATTTGGGGATTTTATATTTGATTGAAATTTGTTTTCCTATCTCGTGTAACTGAACTCATACGTACCACACGTTCTTAACGAGTCGATAGCGTGAACAGTCCAAGAGGGGGACCATGTTTCTCGATTTTTATATTTGAGAAATCAAACCCAACAAAATAAAAATAAAAAATAAAAAATAAAAAAGGAGGTTGAAATGAAATTCAAAGAAAGCTGCTAAACAAAAGTCGCTGTTACAAGAAAAATAGTGTGAACACAAGAATAAAAGTTTGGCTGAAATTACATCAAGTTGCAGCTGTTTCTAGTATCAATATTCAAATAGATGAAATACCTTGTGGAAAAAGTATGTATTAAGAAAGACAAAAACACAAGCACTAGCTTGTGAGTTTAACTAAGAGTCTATTTCACTTGCCGAGTTTTCCATACAAAATTTACCAACAAACATGAGTATCAAAATTTCGAATAGGATGTGATAAATTTAAATAAGTCAGCTTCTCTAATCGAATTTAGAAAAATTATAAAAATTAAACAGCAGAACATAGGGTATGTATTAATGTATATATGGATGGCAAGTTTAGAGAATAACTTACCTTCAATAACACCAGTATGTGATTCTGTATTCCTTCTTTCACGATATATACACCTCCTGCTCCAGCCCCCACCTTCGGTGTAATTATGTTGACAAAACCCCCCATAACGTTGACACCAATCGCATGCTGCTATTAATAATCCAGGATCCAACCACCACCCAAGTGTTACTGGAACAAATTGTTGTGAAATTCTTCCTTCAATGAATAAATTCATATCCACCACGAAGGCAGACCCACAGCTCTTATTTCCAGTCTGCCTTTTCAAACCTGTTAGATCGAAGGTAAACGACCGGAGATAATCAGGAATCATAGTTTGGCAACAACCGATGCCAAAGCAGTTGTTTTTTTCAATAACAATGTCATTGCCACAAGTTGTTGAACAACCACTAACAACACTCCCATTATACATAATAGCAGCACTACCACACCCCTCAACCACAAGTATGTTGTAAGATCCGGAAAATCGGAAGGGACTTCCGTTGAGGTTAAGGCTGTTATTATAGACTAGATTTTCACAATCAGAAAACATTGGAACATTAACAGTGAGTGTTTCATTTTCCAAACTAAAACCCAAAACCTCTAAATTGTTGAACGCGGATAAGTAAGGTGTCGAGGAGTTGCAATCAACATTGAACCAATCACTCTCTGAACAACTTCTTTCAATCCCAAAAGGGTAAGGAATCGAGACATCCCCACATGTCTCGTTGCATCTTATTAAATTTTCATCGAATGTTTCATTCCATGAAAGTGAGATAGGAGCGAAATTGTCGTTAGATTGGCTGGAAAATTCTCCTGCATAATCTGCAGCCACCAAGAAAGCAGACCCACTGCAGGTTCCATCTCTATCTTGCTTTTCCATCCCTGTTAGGTTCAAGGTAAACGAGTGGAGATCATGAGGAATTGTAGTTTGGCAACAACCAATGCCAAAGCAGTTGTTTGTATCAGTGTCAGTACCAGTGTTAGTGGTTGTTCCACAAGTTGTGGAACAACCACCAACAACAGTGCCATTCTCCATGATGGCGGCACTGCCACACCCATTAACAATAAGTATGTTATTGGATGCGGAAAATAAGAAGGGGCTATTGCCATAGCTGGTGTTTAGAATAAGATGGCTATGCTGGACTGGATTCTGGCAATCAACACTAATTACTGAGATATTAACAGTGACAGTTGCCAAGTTTATATCCAATACGAATACCTCTACGTTGTTGAGTGCAGATAGATACGGTGTGGAGGAATTACAGTTAATTGTGTACCATTCGTTGGCAGAACATTCTCGTCCAATCCCGAATGGATATGTAATCTGGACATCCCCACAGGCTGTATCACAACGTGGCTTGGCGAGCTGAGCTTCTATTGATGATGTTAACAAAGTTAAGATCAGTAATTGCAAAACTTTGAACGGCTTCATCTTGACAACAACAAGGATTGAAGGGCGGATGGATATAAGAATCAAAACAAAGTGAATTTGTAATTTTCTATGCTCAAAATCTGCTGCCTCGTTTGATTATTATTTTAATGGATATATTTCATTCATGATTGAACTTGAGTCAACGGGATGCAACTTTAATTTTGCGCCTTTAATTCATCTGGGCTAGATATTATAATGTATAGGTTTTAAAATACTATAATTCATGATTGAACTAGAGTAAACGGATGGAACTTTAATTTTGCGCCTAATTCTTCCAACACAAGTGGGCTAGATATTATAATGTATAGGTTTTAAAATACTATAACAACCAAATACATAAACAGAACTAAATGCTCTTTTTCAAACCAATAAGAGCAATATAATATTGATTTTTTGGTTAATCAAAACACAAGAAATTTAAATGGCCAATTTAAATGAATAGGGTAAATTACATCATTGGTTCCTCTCAGCATGTGTCAAAATGCACGTTTAGTCCATATTTTCAAAATTTAACTCGTATCGTCCCTCGTTTGGTTTCAACTTGCACGCTTCATCCCTCAAAGACGATATTTTTACGAACTTAGTCTGTTTCAGAATTTAAATGACGATAATGCCCTTGTGTTTTTATTTTATAATTAATTTAATGTTTTTACCCTTATTATTATTATATTTTTTTTTAAAAGAAAAATAAAGCCCCTTCACTTTCCCCACACTTTTAATCGGAAATAAACACATAGATTCGATGAGAGGGAAAATAAAGACCCAAATCGTCGGCACCACCATCGTCTCCACCTTCAACGAACCTTTCTCTCCATCTATCACCATCTCCAGCCAACTCCCTCAGCCCGAAAAGAGGATATAAATGTCATATCGATGCCTCTTCTCGGATTCTAATCTTCGATCTGCTTCTTTAACGGAAGAAGGTTAGGGGTTTTCGATTTTGTTGTAATTGTTGTTTTTTCGATGTCTTGCTTAGATGAAATAGACTCATCATAGTGACTTTGGTGATCCCCTCTCCGTATGGACCAAGACTCTTGGCAGTCCCCTCTCCGTCTCCGTCGCACCTATCACCTTTCTTTGAATCCAAACCATTGATGGAGATGTTGTTGAAAAAAAAAAGAGTAAAGTCCAGATCAATGGCATCGTAGAGGGGGAGAGCTGGTTTCCGATGGGTTCTACATAGAGATGGAGACGTTGCCGCCACCTAGGGTTTATGATCGAGCTCCACCACCTGTTTGGGGAGGATCAGAGGATCAGTAACATAAGGAATAAAGTCTGAAAGATGAAGGGGTGGTTGTCGGAGGTCTGATTCTTCACGTTTGTTGGTGGTCAACATCATTGATCTGAGGTTCTTCGATAGCAGCGAGATTTGGGGTGACCACTAATGCGTTTGCTTTTGAATCCTCTTTCTTATACTGTAACTCGTGGGTTTCTATTTACAGGTTTATAGTTTGATTTTCAGGTTTAGGGTTTAGTTAGATTTGATTTCAGCTTCTTGTTTATTAAATTTAGGGGGTCGTAGGATTTTTGGGAAGGAAAAATGTGGGATGTGTTCAACGGTGGTCGGACATAAGGCATACCTCCCAAAATAGGTGGTGGGAGAGAAATAGGAGTGAAAAGTGGCGGTTTCTGGTGGTGATAGGTGGTGGTTGACGGTGGTCATAAGTGGTGGTAGCTGAAGTTGAGAAAGAACTAGGAAGAAATTTGACATCTAATCAATAGTGGTGATGGTGTTTATATTTAATCAAACATTTTTTAATAGATTAATAATTTATAATTAATAACCATATCAAAAAAGAAATAAATAATAGCAAAAGGGTATTTTTATGTCCAGAGGGACAAAGCGTGTAAGTTTTAAGCAAACGAGGGACGGTCGAGTTAATTTTTGAAAATTTGGACTAAACACGCTTTCTGACATATGTACGAGGGACGATTGGTGTAATTTACCCAAATGAATATTTTTTAGGAAAATACAGAGATGGCGGGAGAATATGATGAGAGTGGGATGTTACAAATACGAGCAATGGACCTTAAAATTATGATGAAAGTGGGATGTTACATATAGGCAAATAATGGGAATAATGGGAACATTAAACCAAAGCTAAAATTATGGAGTGATGATGGTACTCATTGTGGGAGCTATGACTTCAAATATGGACATATCATGGCCTCCATGAACTTAAAGTCGCCAATTTTATCAAGTCTTGGCCCTCCTTCATGCTCCAACTCCCATAATAAGCTTGATTTTAGTGTTTTAACCTCTTGATGCCATGCATGGACGTAAAGTTAGCAGCTTTACGTGGTATTTTAGTTCTAAGGGACCAAATCTATGGTTTGTGGCACTAGATCCGCTTGGGAATTGGCTGAATGCTTTAAGACTAGGAGAACTCGACAAGTTGTTCTCATAATTAGACGAGTTGGTTTGGGGTTTTCCCACTTTTCTGGGAAACTGAAGGAACTTGACGAGTCACCCGGTGGACTCAGCAAGTTGGCTCGGATTTTTCCCGTTTCTCTTAATACTGTAGAAACTCGACGAGTTGGTTTGGGATTTCTCGTTTTCTGAAGTACTGGAGGAACTCAACTAGTTGGAATGTGCACTCGACAAGTTGGGTCAACATGGGTTGTTGACCTTGACTATTGACCTTGACTGTTGACTTTGACTTTCACCATGGTTGACCAAGTTTGACTTTGAGGACACTTTGGGTATTTGGAGGTTTTGATAGAACGGCCATATGTTGGTTGTAGGTTGTTGAGTCCGGAGTTGAGTTTTTGGAGTTGGATTTTGCGGGTTCAGCACTTCTTGAGAGGTGAGTTTTCCTCACTGTACTTACGGGTCGAAGGCACCAAGGTCAGCCCTTTTGGATTTTATCCAGTTTTATCATATGATGTTATGTGTGGTGATCTGTTAGATCTGTGTCCTAGTATATAGTATAATGCTATGATTGATGATCGGCTAGGCCTGTATGATTATTGTATATGCTACCTACCGTTTGATATTTATGTGATGGCTGGTGGGTTGAGGTATATATATATATATATATATATATATATATATATATATATATATAATAGATGTACGTTTAAAAAAATATAATAAATTTTATGAAATATTTACATTTTATAAAGCTATAACTAATATAAAAATATAAAAAAATATTGCAGCAAGCGCATTTGTGTTTCTTATTGAATATAGATGAAAGTAGTCAACGATAATTTATAAAAGATGATAATACCCATTGATGACGTATAAGTCAAGGGTCATGTTAACACCCATTGAAGACATATAGGTCATTGATCATGTGGTAGCTGCCAATAGTGCCATGATATGATCGATGGATGATATTTGGGTCATTGGTCATGTGGTAGTTTCTTATAGCGTAATGGTATGACCCATGGATGACATATAGGATTGGTCTTGTGGTAGTTGCTTATATTGTCATGGTATGACACATAGATGACATATGGGTCGTTGTTCACGTGGTAGTTTATTATAGTGTCATGGTATGTCCCATAGATGACATATGGGTCACTTGTCATTTGGTAGCTGCTTATAGTGTCATCTTATGACCCATAGATCACATATGGGTCATTGGTCATGTATAGTTGCTTATAGTGTCAAGGTATGCCCTAGGGATGACATATTGGTCATTGGTCATGTGGTAGTTGCTTATAGTTTCATGGTATGACCTATGGATGACATATGGGTTATTGTCATGTGATAGTTGCTTATAGTTGATGGGTTTTGAGCATTCTAACACTTCCTAAGTGTACATGCAACCCTAATAACCTTGGATCTATGTTTGTCTAATAATCATGCAAAGTTGAATTCCAAGGTTATATTCCTATCTAGCATACATGGGGAACATTTTTAACTTGAATGAAAGATAGAATAACTTACCTTGTTGTTGATTATGATCCTTGAAACCTTGTGAGCCTAGCACCCCAAGTGTGATGCCTCAAATGCTTCACACAACACCAAATGCAAAGGAGTAAACTTTGAGAGAATCTTACACTTGCAAAAATCGGCTCTAGCCCTCTTGTTTCTTATGTGTAGCCAATTTTGGTGGAGAATGGGTTTCTTATATAGTGTTGACACATCTAGGGTTACACCATGTAAACCCTAATGTGTCATGACTCTTCATTTCCATGACCCATGGGTTTGTAACTCCCATGGAGCATCCTATGGGTGGAACCCAACTTGATAATCCATGGAGCCTCTTAGCCCACTATATAAGATATGGAAGATTTACATAATCTACCCATATATTTAATTAGTTATCTTTTGATCACTTAATTAATTCTAAATTAATTCTTGATCAAACTAATTAAATAATATTATTAATATATTAGAACTTATAATATATTAATAAACCATAAGTGTTATTTCTCTCATTTTAGTTTATCCAATTGCATGGTGCCATGCAACCCAAATGGACCATGCCGGGTCGGGTCAAGTACATACCAGAAATAGTTATGGACTTAGACACCTTATCCAACAGTCTCCCACTTGGATAAGTCTAATAACTATAACTGCAATACTTCAGGAACCGATCGGCAATCGTAGCTCTTTTAAGGTCTCTCGGAACTGAGAAGATGATGATACGCCATTTAAGATAAGTGATCATATAATCCTATGTTCTAGATATCAGCCAGACAAATACATGGAACAGTGTCTTACTTTGTGTCCAGCAGTTTGTTTCCCGATTTCCGATTTGTTTGACATAGAACTCAATTGAACACATCAACTTAGTTCTGACCGGGCCCGGTACATAGGTCAAAACAAAATCATCAAGGGGCCCAAATATCAGCTTCTAATCCAAGAAGGAACAGATAAACTTCGACTCATATGTTTGTTCTACCACTCATTGAATTATACACAAAAGCACGTTTTATAACATCGAGTTACCAATGCGTTAACGTACAATCAATGCATAACCAACTCATAAGTAACAAATCATATCTCTAGGTTTGAAGACTTATATGATATTACCGTCTCACGATCACTCGAGATAAATTCCATGAAGTGATTCCAGTGAGCGTGGGTTGAGTCCAATGCTCAGAACTTATGAGCACTCATGAGTGTTGTA